GACTAGGCGACGCGAGGCAGGCGGGCCCAGAGAAAGCCGCCCGCGGCCAGGCTGGGCCTGGAGGCCGAGACGCGGTGCCACGGCGCCTCCCCGTCACGTCAGGGCACTCACCTCCTCGCAGCTGGGGCGCTCCGCTGAGCCAGTCCCGTCAGTTCAGATCGTCTCTCTCCGATCGCGGCGCGCCTGACTGACCCGGATCTAAACCCGCGGAGGGGGCGACCCGCGCCTCCGGAGTCGCATTGCGCCTGCGCCAACCGGGCACGCGCCCCGCCCCCTGTCCATGCTCCTCCCACCCTAGTGACTCGGCAGCGCGGCTGGCGGTGGCTGCGCAGGCGCAGGGCGATGGCCGCGCCTCTCAAACGCCTGGTGCCCGCCCCTCGCGAAGCACGTGCGCCTGACGTCATTTCCTGTTATTCTCTTGGCTCACTCCTTCCTCCGCAGAGAGTTTGCTCGGGACTCGGTTTTGGGGCGTGTCTGCTTCCTCCTGTGGATCAGGTGAGTGAGTGGGCGTTATTCTTCACAGTTGCGGAGCAGCCTCCACTTGCCAGGGTCTCCTTGTGCTTGGTGCGCTAGTTGGAGTCACCAAGACTGCGAATTCCGCGGGGTGAGCCCAGGGTGGGGGGCCTGCGCGGCAACGGAGCGCTTGGTTCGAGTCTCTTTGATGCCAGAATCTGAATTGCCTGCGACATCTCCAGGGCTCGGACACCAGCCCTCAGCCCCCGGGGGATCTTCCAGTGCTGCAGAGAAGCTTAGAGGTATCGGACACGGCCAAGACCTTGAACGTGAGGCCGGAATTGGAACTGAAACGCCTTCGCTTTAATTTCCCTCTACGGCCTCAATTTCTCCGTTCTAACAGAATAAGTGAGGGCATTGGACCGTTTCGGCGAATCTCGTTTGTTTCCAGGCATGGGCTCCTTTGAGAATCTGGTGAGAACTGTAGACCACCTCGACAGAGAAATGCACATGCATACTAAATTTTGCGAAAAGGTTTGGGCAGTTCTGAATTGGTGATTTTTTTAGGGATCTTTTCCATTTGAATGACTCCTGCCTTTGCTCAGTTGGCAGGCAGAGAAGGGGCGGGCTGAGCAACAGCTGCCACTCCCTCCACCACTGGGTCTGGTTCTGCTGACCTAGCCGCGCCCCTCCTCACTCACCCCGCCCCAGCTCCGCGTCTGCACTTACCAGAACTTAGTGGGGAAAGATGGCTTTTCTCAATACAGTGGGCTGGAATTGGTTTTGACCCAACCCTCGTGTGAGGTGGTCACCTGAACCAAAAGTGGAACCTCCCACTCCCCAATCACCTGCTAGGCTGCTGAAAATAGCTTAGTGTATACAACTTAACTACAGCCAGACTTTGGAAAGTCTGGCCCCTGTGTCTGGAAATGGAATCTACAGGTCATTGTGTAAGGTTGTTAAAGCATGTCGTGGGCTCTGGGTAAAACGTTTTAAATCCTCCTTGTTCTTACCAGAATCTCAATAACTGACGAGGGATTAAAAAAAAACCTGTTAATTGTGAAGTTCCAACATCAAACGTAATGATGCTAATAATGGCTGCCCTCTGCTGTGCCTCAGGCATGCACGTGTTTGCACGATTAATATTCCTGTGATTTTACTCATTTTACAGAAGAAGATGCCTGGGACTCAGATACTAGATAACTTGTTCTAGCTCCCCTTGTTCTGTGTCGCACAGTGCTAGGAAGTGACTGAGTCAGGATTTAAACCGTCTCAAAAGCCAGGCCGTCCACTGCTGCCCATCTCTCAACATCTCTTAGAAAATACTAAGAAACGTAAATATGACGCATTTTTTCCCCTTAGAAATTGCCAAGTGAGTTTCATCAAGACCAAATATGTGTTCTTAAGCTGTCATATGAAAATACTGCTTCAGATAAAACCACACATCCTTGAGGGCAAGGACTGTATCTAGATCAGTTGAATTCCCAAAGCTTAACACAGCCCTTGGAGGTCAGTAGGTGCTATGTAGTTTTGGTGAATTCTTCATTTTACCTTATTTCCACTCACCATGGATGGCATTACATACTAAAAACTAAAAAGCTTTAAAATGCTTCATTTTAGGTAAGCATGTTTCCATCATAAAGTTAGATGTTTTCTGAGAATGTGGCTCATTACTTGGGTTTTTGGAAAGCGAGAACCTCTTGAGAGTAAAGTCTGCTAATTCGCACGGCCTGATGTGGCCTGAAATTTCAAGTCTTTACATACAGGCCTAACTCACTGTGTGAGTCACCTCAAGACTTAGAATGAGAGAGAGAAGGCACAAAACATGTGATCTGAGAGAACAAAAAGCCAGGCCTGCCTCGTATACCAGTAACACAGCATCTTTCCAGCCATAGAAAAAGCCCTGAACTTATGTGGAGACTTTACATTCAGGAAATTGACTTGGTATCAACTCAATTTTTAATCCCCACGATTATCCACTTACAGATAGAGGCGCGGTAGCGGGAAGTCAGTGTGTGTTGATCATTTTGGAAGACAGGAGTCAAGAGAGCTGTGTCCTGGTTGGTTCTGCTCTGCTGTGGGACCACGGCACCTTCTGTGTCGTCAGTTCTCCCTCTTCTCTCCCCAGCCCTTGGTGAATACCTGCTGCTTGCCCAGTGCTGTGCGGAAGCCCTTGAGAAGCTAGTAGGAGAGCCCTGGCGGAAACACAGGATGCCGTGTGGGTGCCCACCTGGAGGGATTGTCTAGCCAGCCTGGAGGTGCAGGGGGTGTCTCTGAGAAGGCTTCCTGGAGGAGGTGCCATCTAAACTAGGTTTTGAATGTCACGCATTGCCCCAGGAAGTGGGAAGGGATGCAGTGAAACTCAGAGAGTCCAAGCCAGCTCATGGAGAGAATCCTGTTAAGGAGCTGGGATTGTGACCTTAGGCAAAATGATGACGTGCCCATGGGCAGTTTCTATCACTCTGGAAGCCTCTTAAAAAGGAGAGGAAGAGGGAAGCCAGTTTGAAGACAGTTGAAATGATCTAAATGAAGGCCAGAACTGAAACAATGGCTGGAGGTCACTTAGGAGGCCACATTATCTAAGGAGATTAGCAACACTTTCCAGGTTTGCCGGTCAGAGAACTGTTCGGCCCAAGTGAGTGCGTGGCCAGTAGGCGGTACCATTTACTGAGGAAGGAAATTCAGGAAGTCTGCAGATTTAGGGACTAGGGAGAGTGTTTAGTTTCCGGCATAAGGAGTTTGAAGTACAGATGAAAGCAGGAATCAGTTCATGAAAGGTCTACAAGGCCATGTCACAAGGTTTATCCTAAGAACCATGGGAGCTGTGGAAGAGAAGAGAAATGACCAGATTTATTCTAGAAAGATTATTCTGGTTACAGTGTGGATGGCACAGGGATCCAGGCCTGAGATGGCAGTGATCTAAAAGCAGGTGGCTGTGGGAATGCAGCGCAAATTAACAGACTGAAAGTTGTGTAGATCAGATTTGGTAAAAGGCTGGATGTGAGCAGGAAGAGCAGGGAGAGAAAGTTAGCAATGACAATTTGCTTTCTAGTTTGAGCAGCTGAACAGGTATTGTTGCCTGTGTCTAATGTAACTATTGAATCCAGTTGACAGAGAACAGATGAAGAACCACATTTAAATGGGAGATAATAATAAATGCTAATACATTTATAGCTCTTCTATGTGTCAGGAAAACTCACTCTAATTCTCACAGTAGTCCTATGAGAGTATCACGATCATCTTCATTTTCCAGATGAGGACACTGAAGCCAAGAGACGTTAAGTAACTTGCCTGAGGTCACACAGCTTAGTTAGTGGTGGAGCTCGAATTTGTACCGTCAGGCTAGAGTCTGTGCTCTCACACAGGCTGTGCCTTCCCATGACGTCGTACCTCTGAATGATGAGCGCAGTTTGGACACATTGACCTTGAGAGATCTTTGGGGCAGCTGGGTAGAGGTATCTAATGAGCAGGAAGATACATGGGTCTCAAGTTCAAATGAGAGATTCAGACAGGAAAGTCATTGTGGAGTCAGCATGCAGGAGGCCAGTAGAGACACAGGGGAGGGCAAGGGCCCCCAAGGAGAGGTGGGAAATGGGAGGAAAGAAACAAAGGGAACCCTGAGTGGTGATGACCCTTCCCACTCTCTCCTACCTGTGGATGGAAAGTGTTGCCTGCCACATCAGTAAACAAAGGATGTTGCAGCCATCAAGCCGTCAGCCATTGCAGCCACCCCAGCTGTGCATCCAGAAGGGGTTCAGGATGGCAAAAAGCAGGATACGGGTCCTTGATAGTTAAGGTGCGAGGAATCAAAGGAATGATTTCAATGAGCTCAGACTCTTGCATCTTTCCATACTTAGGAAAGCATGCTAAATTCATTAACTTGAGATGTCTCATTTTCTTAAATTAACAGTAATCTTTTGACGTTCTGACTTTCTAGTTTTCGTTGCAAAACTATATATCCTGGCCCCTCCCTTACCTCCTTGGAGCTGTCCCTCAGAGCCACCTGAGAGGCTGTCTTCCAGGCTTAAGTCCTCAGAAATTTCACCAAAAGCATAATTCTCAACTTTTAGGTTGTGCATTTTTTTCAGCCGACAAGCCACGACAAACCACTTAGTGGCCTCTTGGCTCCCTGGACATCATTTTTTGCCCCTCACCACAACTGAAGGGCCTCCCACTCCTCTGTCTACCACGGGTCAGCTTTGTCAGCCCCCCTCCACTTCCCCATCTCCAGGACTCCAGAACACATCACTTGGGACTCCAGGTGCCTCCTTAAGTTATTATTTAGCTTTTTACCCGTACATTTCTTGTGTCTCCAGCTAGATTCTAAGCTTCTGGAGGGTAAGACGCACATTTCCCCCCAGCTTTCCCCCTCAGCCTGTATTCCCCTGCATATGTAGATTAAATGCCCCTACGCTGTGTGCTCCCTGGGCACCCCCACTTCCTCCATCACAGCCAGGGCCGCATCTTGTCTCCCTGGTACCCGGCACAGGGTCCGCCACAGAATGTAGTGAATGAGTGAGAGTCCATCAGTCAGTCAGTCAGTCATCTTGCTAAGCGAGTAATTACAGTTGCCCACTGGCTTTTGAGAACCATAACTGGGGCCTTGTCTCCTTTGACTGTTGATTTTAGCACCAGGGCCCTTCACAACAGTCTTGTTTGGGGAGGAATAGGCTAGAGGTGGGGCAGTGGAGATTAACTGTGCTTTCATGTCATTCTATTCACAGCCCCAAAGCTATTGTGGTCTGTTATTTGACAGTTGCCTTCCTCAAACATTGGCTGACAGAATGGGGACTTTGGGATGCCTTGATAAGTGAACTTACAACATCTCTTTGTGCACTGGTTCTGGTTAAGTCTGCGTCAACTTGAGTCCCAGGATTCAAGTTAATCCTCAGAGGTTGGGAGGAAATGGGAGGCTTTTCCTAGTAATTACTGATCACCAGCAGGGGGAGCCCTAGGACTGCAGAATCTCTTCCTCTAGTATAATAAAGCCCTTCACAGTGTTTTCAAAACTTGAAGACCCAGGGTTAGTGAATCCCTTGCCTTCTAGCTCAAGTGTTCATTCAGCTTTGCAATTTAAACTGTGTGATGACATCAGGAAAGTATCAAGGCCAAAAAAAGAATCAAGCAGTAAAGCTACAGAGGAAAAGAACCTGTGAACAGTAAGGACTGGAAGGGAGTACTGAGCTTCAGGGGTGCTGGTAATACTCTGTTTCTGGATCTGACGTTGGTTACAGGAGCGTGTTCAGTTTGTGAAAATTTCATCAAGCTTTGATACAGTATAGTATATCTATACTATGTATATGTACACACACAGACACTATATTTCTATCTGTATTAAACTTCAATAAAGTGTTTTTAAAACTGTTTTTAAAGTCTCAGTTTGTACCACAAGATATATGTATTGGACTAGGGTGACTGTTCTTTTTTTTCTCCTATAATTCTTAACCTTCTCTGAGTCACAGGACCCTTTCTGAAAAAGACCCCAGGTTAAGAACTTTTGCAGCAGCAAAAGAGAGAAAATGAGCAAAGGACATGAACAGATAGTTCACAGAAAAAGAAATCAAACATATGAAAAGATGCTCAATTTCAGTCTTCAAAAGATGAATGCTTATTAAAAGAGTACAGAGATACCACTTTTAATCTATCTGGTTGGCAGCAATCCCAAAGTTTGACAGCACACTCAATGGAGTTGAAGTTAGAGGGTGGGACAGGAGGCAACAGGCTCTGCCAGACATTGCTAGGGGGATTGTGAAATGACAGTATCCATCAAAATGGCAAGTCTAGAAATCCACCCTGTAGATGACATTTGTACATATATGTAATGACTTATATAAAAGCTTAGCCAATCCAGCGCTGGTTGTAACAGCAAAAGATGGGAGGCAACCCAGGTGTCCATCCATCTGTACAGGACCAGGCACCTACACTGTGGTGCAGCCATACACTGAGTTACTATGTAGCTGGAAACAGAGCAAGCTCTTAGAAAAGATCTCTAAGAGATAGTAAGTTAAAAAAAAAAAAGGTGCAAGCTAAGAATGTATATGTGTATCACTTGTGTCTGCATAAAGAAACACTGAGAAGATAAGCTGAACACCAGGAGGAGCAATTCAGAGAATGGTGGGGGCAGGATGGGAGCAGCCAGACTTTGTCACAGTGATTTTTGAATCCTGTCACTGTGTTACCTATGCCAGACAACAGTAACAACAGATTTAAGAAGCCCCGCTCTAAAGCTGTTGAGCTAAGCCTCTGCACTCGCATACTTCTCATATCTGCCAACCTCACAATGGCTGGGTTTGGTTTTTTAAATTTGAATGAAGCCATGTCTTGATAAGAGACGTCAACTTAATCTACACTTACACTGTTGTGTCATGGTTTCCTGGCTCAGCCTTCACTCCCAAGCATTCTTTCCTTGCCCTGTGTGTGCTCTAAACCAGTCTGCCCTCTCAAGTGCCAACATTTATGTGTAATTTATGAGCACCTTAGCTTGCCTGAGGGAAAAAGAAAAGGTTTCATTAGAAAAGTGTGCCTTTGTCTTCAGATGCCATTGAGATCTCGTTCCCCGTCCTTTCATCTTTGCTTGTCTCTCCAGCCATCCCTCCCCCTCCTCTTTTAGAAGGTCTTCTCTCCAAGACCAGTCCCTACTGTAACCTCACTTTGGTTCCTGTCTCTCGCACTTTCTTGGGAAATGCACACCATTTTTTCTGTACACGCAAACACACATCATGTCTTCTCTTACCATTTAAAAAACAAAAAGGAAAAAAAAGCCCACAAAACCCAAACCCACAAAGCCCCCTTCTGCCTGGATTCTCCCTAAGCGCCTGTCCTTTTCTCCCCTTTGGAACCATAGTCAGTGTCTCTCCTTCGATTCTCATTTTTCAAACTGCTGCGACCAGACTTCCATCACCACTGAAATGCTTCTGGCCAAGGGCAGGAGTGATGTCCTTGCTGCTAAATCCAGTGGCCCGTTTCTCAGTTCCTAGGTTGCCTGAGTTCTGAGCTCCGTCTGACACTGGACATGGTTTCCTCAACTCACCCTCCTTCCGGCCTCTGTGGTCTTCACACCCAGCGCCATCCTCTCGGCGGCCTCTCCTCCTCCGTCTCCTCCCCAGGCTCCTCTTCTGCCCATCAGGCGCCTCACTGCCCCATGCTTCTCATATCACTTCCACTTCCTGGATGATCCTGGGTCAGAAAAGAGAGAAATCTACTCTTGACTTGCTTGAGTGGAAAAGGAATTTACTGGAAGGATAGCAGAAAGCTCACTCAACAAAAGGGAACGCTGTACAGCCAAGCCTCATCAGACTGGGGACAGAACCTTTCCCAGGTGCCAGGAATTCGCAGGCAGCCTCTCTGGGGTATCGCCATCAGATGCCACGCATTTCTGACCTTCCATGACCCTCTGTATAGGATTCAAGTTCCAAGGAGGGAAGCCCTGGTTGGCCCCGTAGCGGTGTCAGACTGTATCGTCCACGACTCAGAGGTGCAAAAATAGGACAGCTTCTTCCGTTTTCAACTGATCTCATCTTGCCCTCAAACTTCCATTCTCCCAACTCTAGTGGGTAGAGGTCTCCTGCACTTCTCAAAAGTTCGCTCTATGCCACTTTGCTTTTATGAAAGACCTACATTAGTACCTGTTTTCACCCAAAAAAAAGAAACCTGAAGAGGATTTTCCCTTTCACGAAAAAGGTGAAAAGCAAAAATAGCATGAGCCTTTGTTTTGCGCCGAGTATTAGAGAGGCAGCACGCACCCCAAGGGCGAAAGAGGCACCGCCAAGCTCTCTCCCGGGAACTGCACTCAGCATCTCAGCATCAAGCCGCGTAGCTTTGCCCTGTGTCTGTGAACATCTGTGCTTTATCTCAATTTATGTTGCGCCTCCATTAGTACATCGTGTCCTAAGGAAATTGCTGCTTCGCTTTACGCTGTGTCAGCTTACAAAAGGTCTCAGGAAGGGGAAGGTAGGAAGGGAGACCTGTATTTCGGTCTCTTCTGGTTTACCGCACTCTGTCCTGCATAAATCCTCAGTAGTGCAGGCTTTCCTCCCCTCCCCCTTCTCCTCCCATTCTCTGTGGCTCCAGGAGGGAGGGGGCAGATGAGCTTTGTGATTCAGAGACTGTTCCTTCCCCTTGGCTGTTCTTTGCAGCCATGTGGCTGCTCTAGGCTTGTCTTCTGCATCATGGATTCTGCTGGAACCCACCAAGGTGGGGCTGACCTGATTCAGTTCCTGAATAGAATCATGAAAATTGCTGGTGTTCCCTGTCATGAGGTCCTCACAGCTTGTCTCCTGGGCTTTCCTCACCCATCAGTCCCCTTAGCACACCCACAAGATCTCTCCTGAGGGCATGCGTAACTTCCAGGTCATCTACATGGCATATGGGTCCAGGGGGCTGGGGAAGCTGCTGTTTTCCACCATATCATCTCCCAGGGCTGCTTTTATAGCTTAGGTGCCAACTCGGTGCTGCGGTATGGCCAGTGTGGGGCTTCCCTGAGAGGCCAGAGCTCCCCCTTGGCCCTGCTCTGGGATGTGACGCCCGCGTCCTCCAAGCCTGCCTAGGAGCTTCTCAGTCCCATGCAGTGGATCTGACCTTAGAACAGGGTGGACCAGAACACTTGCATCTGAACTCCTGTCCTGCTTTTTCTCCGGGGCAGGCCCAGAAGGCCTCGTCCCTTCCTGCTCTATGGGAACTTCTCTTTAATCTTACACTGTGTCATCTCCTCCTTGTGACTTACAGAAAATCTCTGCCCTCTCACCCCCCAGTTGTGCTCTTGATCTGCAGAGAGAAGAGTTTGGAACTAAGGAAATCTTCTTTCTGTTCCCTCTACAAAGCCAGATTTTAAGACTCTTATCTCACTGTGGACTCAAGAAGAATTTCAAACTCAGAGCCGAGCAATGGCTCCTTGGGCAGCAAAAGGCACTCACTGAATGGCTGGGGAGCTGCAGGCTTAACGAGGAATCAGGAATTAACAGCAATAAAAGTACATTGGTGTTGCCCTCAAGAAATGTTCTTTAGCTTGACAGATGTGCCCACTTCTTGGATGGCAGGGCACTTGGGCTGTTTCACCAGGACCACACAGAATGGCTGGGGAACTTCTTCAAAGGGAGTAGTGGGTGCTATGACCTGAAGAAAGGGGTAGAGGGAACGGGCAGGGAGAAACAATAAATGTCGTCCACAGCTTTGGCGATATGTGCTTGCTGTTGACAACGTCCAGATCTCCAGCCCGGCTGTCTCCTCACCACACTTCGAGTCCTGTATCCTGCTGGTCGTCTCTACGTGGACATCCCACAGACACCTGGTGAAATGCGACATGTTCAGAACTGAATGGGTTACCTTTTCCCCTAAAGCCTAGTCTTCTGGCCTTTCCTGGTCCCTTTCCATTTAATTGAATCAAATGGAATTTGATTCACACCCTCCCATCTGTCAGGCTCCTAGGTTATTTAATAACCCCTGTACGTTGGAAGTGTTTTGTTTTGTTTTAATTTATTTATTTTTCTATTGAAGTATAGTCAGTTACAATGTATGAATTTCCGGTGTACAGCATAATGTCCCAATCATGCATACATATATATGTATATTCATTTTCATATTCTTTTTCATTAAAGGTTATTAAAAGGTGTGGATATACCTTTATAGGAAATTTAGAAAATATGAAGAAGAGAATTGTACGTCCTTTGGCCCCAGCACCCAGGAAGACCACTGTCAGCATTTTGTCATTGTGTTACAGAGTACTTAAGAGTCAGGCTGGCTCTATTTTAGAAGTCCTGCTTCCCCACTCCTACCCCTCTGTGTCCTTGGACATGCTGCCTAAGCCCCTGTGCCTCCATTTACTGCTCTGAAAAATGGGGCTAATGATAGGACCCACCTCAGGAGGCATGGGGAGAACTGAGTGATGAGATAGTGTCCTACAAATGTTAGTCACTATTACTATTATTGGTATTGTTATCTTAAATGTATCTATTTTAATTGCTGACGGACTGTGCACACAGTTTTACACTCTGCTTTTTTCATTAACTTTTGTAAGCATCTTTCATGTCACACAATATTCCTAAAAATATGATTTTAATGACTGAATTATAGTCCATCATTTAAATGGGTTCATAATTTCTCCTGTAGTTAACCATTCCTCTGTTTTTGGACAGTTGTGAGTTTGTGTGTGTGTGTTGTCTGTGTGTGCATTTGCTGTAATAAAGAACTCTGAACTGAAAATCCTTGTTTGTGTGTGTATATATAAATTTACACATTAAAAATGCGTGTGTAGATGTACGTGTATATATCTCTACATCTGATCGTGAGTCTGATTATTTGCTTAGAGTAGAATTTTACACCTGGAACACCTAGGTAAGAAGGTATGCCCTGCCTTTTATGCCTAAAAGAA